GTTTTAGCCTACACTGGAATAGACAGCAGTGCTAAACAAGTCATAGCCCCTTTTCTGAGACCAGAAGGCTAAGCAGGTAGCTCCTGAAACCGCTCAACTTCCGCTGCAACACGATGTCGGTCAACAATACTCAGTGTCAGAGGACTCCATGCAGCCATGGTCGCCAGAGTGTTATTACACCATATGCAGCTCAGCCAGTACATACACGCACTGTCTTGGTTATATGGGCAGACAGGCCTTTGACACAACACAGAAGAGTGTCGTTTTGTGGATCTTTCCAGAATTTCCTAGAAACAGTGAAGACTCCAGAAACGTATAGGAGTGATAGTCAAGATATGCACCATCCACAAGGCCAGATCTGCATTTGGATATGTCAGTCATAATCCATTTTAGAAGTCTTTTTAAATTCACAGTCACTAAAGCCAGTTGTAAGTAAAAGTCAAAGAACAAAGGAAAGCTAAAAGCTTTTTGTTCAGCCATTCATTTTCAGCCAGCAAAATTGTTAATGAATTTAACATATACTTACCCGGAAAAAAAAAAAAAATCAAATAATCTCTAAATAACCTTATGGGAAACTGTTCAGACCAAAGGTATTATATCATGTCAGAATCTCAATTAATAAGTTCCTTTCCTAGCCATTAGGTAGTCCTAGCTAACTACCATTAGCATTCTACTGTAAGTTTTATTTGTTTAAAAAAATCTCACTGATATTGTGAGAGCCTCTGTAAGTTCTTATTGGGCATAGCTACAATTTAAGATGTTCAGCTACTCCCCAAATGGTGCTCAGCACTTCAAATAAGATCAGGGTTTGTTCACATTTTCAGAGAAGATTCAGAGAAGTCCAGGTCAGCCAGACTCTTTTCAATTTCAAAAGGAAGTCAGATAAGTTAATTGAAGACAAGGGACTATCATATTGAATAGCACTTTACTCAACCAGAATATGCCACAAAAATAAGTGTTAGAACAGGTCTATCCATATTGTACATTAGAGGTTACCTAAATGTATACAGAAGCTTTGTTATTTACACAAAAAGCATCACTGAATCTGTTTTCTGGACTTTATGCCACACTTCTGCACTTTTTGTATGTTAGTCAATTGAAAAGTTACTTTAAACTGGGTTACTTTTGTTTACCTTTTTTCCTTCTACACTAAACATTGAGGTGAGTTTCAGTGTGAGAGGATGTAAAGAGGTGTCTACTAAATGCCCCCAAAAAAAAGTTTTTAATCCTTGCTCAGATTGAGAAAATTTTCAAGAACTTTAAATTCTTGATAATATCTTAAAATTATATGCTTTCTAATATTAGAGAAAGAAGAAAAAGTCTTGTTAGAGTTAGAATAATTTATGATCTTTTTCTTTTCAAAACATGACCGACTTTCAAAAGCAACTCCATAACACTGGCTGTAAGGAAAAATTCATTACAGATAATCAGACACATTGTTTCAGAGCACGACATAAAACATTCTAACATTTGTTAGGACACAATAAAATTTTTCTTCAAAACCCCACTCGAAGTCAATCTGGAAACAAATGATTTCTCCATCCACATATGTAAACAAGTAGGAATTTTCCTGAATATTTTATTTTCTCCAGGTCAGAGCCTATCCTTCTGACAGGTATCACTGCTCCAATATAGTTGTATCAGAATTAACAGAATTCTGTTTGCAGAGATGCAATTGATTCTATCAGAATAGCTGCAGAAGCAAGATTTTCTATAATTCTTTAAAGAATTTTTGTGAAGAAGAGATTACTTCTTGAACATTTATAGGTAATAATTTTCAGTCAATTACATTTAAATCTTATATCTTTCAGTTGTTCTAGGTTTCCTTTGTGATAGCTATTGCTCCAAGATAGCATCCTATGATGATTCTATCTCCACTAAGTCTTCTTTGAGGGAAATGTACTTCAGATATGATTTATGCTGTCACTTCAGCAGGCGTTTTAGACCACTTTATCCTGTTATTCCTCCAGCAATGCGATTGGTATTAAATAAGAATGTCTTTGGCATAAGAACTTTATCATTTAATCCAGAGTAAATCAGACCTAGATTACTCAAGTCAGTATGAGCAAAGAATCAGGCTGTTTAAGTAGGGTCATGTTTACCATAAATCAGTCAAGGAAAGATTACTGCGTTGACCAATAAGGAGACAGGAGTAAAAGCGTACTGTGCAAAGACATCTGCATCTCCAAATTACTGTAATATGTCTTAACAGGAAATTAATACCAATATTATATCATTTGTATATTGTAGTACATATTATGTGTTGTCAGCTAAATAAAAAGCCATCTCAGTAGTGCAATCCCATGATACCTTCCTAAAGTCACAGAAAGAAAGGGATTCTAACAATCTAAACAAGCCCAGTAAGGGTGCCTTCAACAAGAATGTACTATCAGCAACAAGAGAAGTGTACCCTGGGAACCAATTTACCTATTATATTTTTTATATAGAAGCTTATACGCAGGCATAACTGTAACCCCAATAAGGATCCCCTGTTTTGGCGATGCAGAAAAATCTATGGTGTTAAAGCAATGCTTGTAAATGAGATAAATGATCAGATTTCTAATGTCACTGCAACTCAAGGAGTTCAGTAGAGTGGAAGTTTCAGGAATGAGAAGGAAAATGAAGCATAAGAACAAGAAACTTAAAGAATTAATAGGCAATCATTAAAGAGGATGGAATTTGAGAATCTGTAGAAACGTGTGTTATGAAATCCCTCCTAGGAAAAAAAACACACAGACTTCCATAACTCTCTGAACACTTCTAAACTGAAGGTCTTGATTTTGATGTTACTCAGCAGTTTGTTGTTATTCCCTTTTCCCCATTTTACTGCAACATAGTTTAATATAAATGCAAATAAAGTACTTACCACTATTTCCATGGAACTTCTCTTTAAAATGTTGTTTCCAAATGCAGTTTGCTTGGATATGCCCATCAGAGAAAGTAAACTGCCTTTAGACCCACTGGCAACTACTTATGAGTTGGATCATATTTATGGAGTTCACAGTACTCCACAACCAGACCCACAGCCTTTTCAATTACAGAAGGGATGATAATGGCATTAGTAACAGCAGCTTTCACATCTATATAAGCCATTTGCAGGCATAGGAGGAAATGCTTCCTACCTCCTCTAGGGACACGAATTTCATGTTCCGCTCCATGTACCTTGCATTGCACAAACAGGGATCCTTGCAACAGAAAAGTTGATGCCTAGGTTACTTTTTTTTTTCTCCCTTTGTTTCTTTTATACCCAATGCTGATAAAAACTTTACTGACAGACAGCAGGGCATGTTTACTAAGTAACCTGGGAGGTTTGTACTCACCACTGTGTCCTATATTCCTTTTGTCAATGCTGGAGTCTTCAAGGGTTTTTTGCAGTGTTAAAGGTTTCTAGCAGTATTTAAATAAGTTACAGGTTATTTCTCTGAGAGAAAATTGCATTAATTCTCCATAATAATAATTCTCCATAAACTATACTCTAAAATTTGTTTAGAAAAAATGCTAGTAGAAAAGTCTTTTTTATTGTGACCACCTTACAAAAAGTGATTCAGAACATGAAACTGATTTCTTCTGTTTGTTAAATGTTGCAGATACTACTGGAATAACAGCAGTTAATATGGAACTATCAATTAAACTAGGATAATAATTATTAAATTTTTCAATCTATAGTTTATTAAATTAGTAGAATATTAAATTAATATGGTTTAAACGACTCCAAGATCTAGCCCCCTTGGTGCTGACATCAGTGACAGTGCTTTAAGAAAGTTCATTAGCTGCTGCTCTAAGGTATCCATTTCTATGAAAAAATGAAAGATCTGTTCCTCCATTTCTTTCACTCACTAGATTTTTTGTAGAATTCACTGGGATGTTTCATGATATAAAGAGGTATGACTAGTTCCATTAATGACACCTATTATCTTGATGAAAGCTTTTTTATCTTCATTATACTGTGCAAACGACTGCATTCAAAGACTTCAAAATGTAAATATTCTAACATAAATAATTTAGAAAAAAAACTTAGATCATAACAACAGTGTTCTTTCTATCAGAGTCAGCTTCACATAGTAGTGATAATCACTGAAAACTGAGAGAGACAAAACACACATAACTGGATATTCAGTGGGAGGCCTCTTGGTATATCTAGTATACATATTTATTATACTAGTTGGCATTACTTTTGGAATTTGACCCTTAGATCTTACTGTGATGGATCAGCTATACACTCATACCATCTGAGACCCTGGATTTTTAGTTTGTTATTTTGTCCAGCATCAACAAATCATAGTATCAACAAATCATGTTTCATCACATTAGAATAATGTCATATAGCTAAGAACGCATCTTTACTTTTTTCTTATCCTATCATCAGATATTTTCTGAAGAAAATTAGGATCATAATTCTCATTAGTGGAATTTCTGAAAATAGAAATGCCAAGAAAACACTGTTTCCTTATAATAAAATGCAGTATAAACAGCAGCAAACTCATAACAATATTCTTAGGACACTTATTATAATACCAAATGATTAAAAATTACCAAAGCTTTACCATTCTATCCTATTGCAGGTTAACCCCACACAGTGATTTGAAAAAGTTTTCAGTACCAACACAGTATAAACAATATAATGATCATTCCACATTTGTATTAACTTGTAAGTCAATAAAAAGAAATGAGCATTTAAAATAACCTGGTGCACAGAAAATTTTAGAAGCTTGTGTGGTTATGATAATAAGCATCCTTATACATCTGAAAAAAAAACAAGTTATGGTTAACAGGATGTTAGCATAACCATTACACACTCGTAATGAAAAGGACAGAAGAGAAAAATCTAGCTAAATCTTAGCCACATACTTAAAATACTCTTTATTTTCTGACCTTCAATACTTTTTCTGGGTATCTCAAATTGTTTTTTCCCTCCTATCATCAGCATGATAGTAACCCATACTCTGTCCCAGAAGAACAGAAAACTTAAATAGCAAACCTACAAGCTTAAGATCCCTTACCCTCTGGGCTCGCTGGGCTGCTCTTGCTTCTCAGTGTTACAAACACATGTGTAAACAACAGAATTTCCTGCATCCTTTTCTCATCTGCACAGTACTGGGACTTGGCCAGCAGGATTATTTACAGCATTAAGGCCACTCCACAGTAACTTGAAAAAGATTCCCATTGGTCAGGCTTTATCAAAACCAAAACCACAACATTTTTCCTTTACATGCAAGTCACTTATCCAAAATAAAACATTTCGCCTTATTGTTCTTCATTAAATATTGCTTTCTTCTGCTTTTATTTCTCCTTCTCTTTCTAAATTGAAAATTATGGTCCTAATCCCTCAAACATTATGTACAAGCTTAAACTAATTATTCCGATAAGAACAGTTAGGCATATGCACGAGTCTTTTCCAAGTTGCGTGGACATATATGCCACTACTTGCATGTATGCATATCTCCTCAGTTTTAAATATGCTGCAATAAGATTATTTTTCTTTCTGTCACTATATGTCATCTAGCTAATGCATGCATTTTCCTAATTAGCTGAGTAATTAGCCAGAGGCTTTTGAATATTATTATATAAAAAAAGGAAAATTTTAGATTACCAGAAATATGAAAAGAACACAGTGAGCAAAGGTTAAAAAAAAACTTTAAAAAGCTCATTTCTGAAAAAGTATATACCTTTTCATTAGAAATTAAGGTAACTGCTAAAATAAAAGGTAAGAATGGTTTCTGCAAAGAATATAATAACTGACATGTGACAAAGCATGACACCACCATCCAGGAATGATGTTATACGCCATCTAAACAGCAGGGCCTAAGAAAAAAAAATGTGACAGCTGATATGATTTGCCACAGTTTTGAAAAATCAAAGTATTAAAAAGAAATAAATACAGAATACTGGCAACTCCTATGCTATGGTCTTAGACTGAAAAAAACAGGGTTCCCTACTACAGCTTTAAAGAACATGACTCCACTTTTCTGCTAACATCCCACCATCTTTTAACAGCAGTATAGCAGGTAGTCCTTTCATCACGGATAGTAGGTTGGCTGCAGGACATTTAAATTGGGGCTCCTTTTTTTTTTTTTTTTTTTGAATAAACTAACAAGTAAACTCTCCCACTCTCAATTACATGGGCATTATGTGATTTCAATGACTCACAAAATCTATTGCACTAACTGGAGACAAAGGTTGCCAATAAAAAAAAGTGAACAAACTAGACATTTCTATGAAAAAAAAAAACCAAACATGCCTAAGGTTACCAAATTCAAAAAAAAAAAAAAACAAACAACAAAATAAGGCAACAACTACTTTATACATCTTCCCTGCTTCCTCTAGCAAGTACAAATATTTCATCCCCCGCTAGATACTCTTTTGATACATTCCATTATCCTTAATGTAGGAAATCAATTAACATTTTTGAAATCAAGTTACTTACAGGTCATAAAGTACATTACACATTATTCATTTGTAGCTAATCACATTTCCATCTGTCCATGAGATAAAGAATGGTGGAAAGTGAGATCTGTATTTACTGCAATTTCTGAAGGCATCCAATAAGCCTGATTCCATAACCCATACCCAGACAAATTCTCATCAATTTGTAAAGAAAGTAGCAGATTCATTCTATCTTACAGGAAGCTGTAACTTTGAGCCTAAAAATATCTTCACAATAGATGATTTCTAACTGAGATGTTATCATTTTAAAATCTTGAAAAGTTTCAATATGCCACAGTGAAGGAAGGAGTACTGCTAGACGTACTGCTTAGCATATATTGAATTCTTTACCACAGATATCCAACTACAAAAGCCTCCTTTTCAGTTCTTTCACCCAGGTCTTTATAAAAGGAACAACTGAAAACTCCTTTGCCCCAACCTCCACCTACCCGCACTGGCATTAAACTTTCTTTTTGGGGAGGGAAAGTTTATTTTTCAAAAAAAAAAAAAAAGGAAGAAAAGAGTTATGCACATCAGATCAATAGTAAAACTAGAATGAAAACTCAGATTCCATCCTTTATGCTTTGCAGTACTCACCAATCCTTGCAGAAATCTTGATTTTATCCCAGTGTGAAATATACATCCAAATTTTTAATCAACTTTGACAAGAGGATCAGATAGTACAGCTATATATATATATATACACACACACACACATATATATATACATATATATATATAGTTAAATAAGCCTGTGAATTGTAACATCTCATGACAAACTCAGTACCCCAAAAGAAAGGTAGTAAGGAACATGATACATGTATGGTGCCAGATTTAAAGCAATTTAAAGCGTTTATTAAGAAATAAGTAGATTGGTCATTATTTTCACGTTTGCACTTGAAAATATATATATATATATACGTTCCTCATTTAGTTTGATTTGACTTTTTGGCCTTGATTCTAGGCCTGTCACTAATAATTACAAAGCGGGTGTTGCCAACATTCAAGCTCATTAACACAGGAACTTCAAGTAGCGAGTCAAATTGTCTTCTAGAAAACCTAGGTATATAAGCAATTCTTAGGAAGTTGAAATCATCATACACTCACCAAGGGAATGAGACCTTAGTCATTTGTGCTAGATTTTTCAAACCAAGAAAATGCAATAATAAATACTGTAGACAACATCAGTAATTGGGAACCCATGTTTTGATACATGGTATTAATTGCCATCCAGACTGCTACTTCCCTGAGTAGTGTGGGACGAACTCCCTTAAAGTACGTTTGAGCTTTGGAAGCATGTCAGACCTGCTTCTTCAAGAGCCACAGAGGAGTGTTAATGTGAATGTGAAAGCAAAGTTTCAAGTTGTTTAATGATAAGATCCAGTCCTTGGGGATTACAAAGGAAAAGACCTTATCCTATCCAGAATTACTCAGTCAATGAGAAAGATGAAATAATTTGTCTCAGATAGGAAAGTTGGAGCAAGTGTTCCTCAAAACATAGAGGTCAACTATATTTACTGTATCGATGCAATTTCTTTAGCAGATATAAGGAATTACGTTGCAGATATAAGGAATTAAGTTGCAGTACTGTTTTTCAGTCCAAATAAGATCAAAACATTTCAAGCACACATAGCAATGAATTGAAGCACTTACATTAACTAAATTAGAAAACAAGAAAAGGATTTGAAGCCCTAGAATTTTAACCTTTTGAAAATAATCCCTCAAATATTCTCAGTAAAAATATAAATAATCCAGTTCTCCTTTGCTGTTGGAACGTGTTTTTAATCTTGCTATATTTTCATATTATTCTAATCACTTTATACAAGTGAAGCAAGCTGCATCACAATATGTTTGAAAGGAAGGGCAGAAAGTCATCCTTTACCATATCTCAATTCCAGATACTTTTCCTTAAAAGAAGAAAACAAATAGAAGGCAGTTTGATATCACTAACCACCTTGCCCCTCCTCTTCCCCATGCCTTAAAGAGGTCATATCATTTTGTATCTAGTCCCTGCAGTAGCAGAAAAGCCCAAATCTACTTAATAAAATAAAGGCCAAGGAAAATATAGCTAGTTACAAAAGAGATGAGTCAGTAAAAGATACAAAAACCCCCCACCAAACTGTATGCATTGACTAGTCAGTAAGGAACAAGTTGGTGCAATTCCATTTGACTGATACATAGATTAGGAAGAAGATAAGATTAATATAATTCTTTTCCAGAATCTCTGTCTAATAGTTTCAACAGAGAAAGAACATTTTTTTCCATTTTCTTCTAGGTTCTAGCATAAACCAAACATGCAATCGTAACACATAATTTATGTGAGAAATGGAAATAACAAAGTTTTGTTTCCATAGCTTTTCAATTCAGTAGTACTATTTCAACATTACTCATTGATGAGGCTAACTTAGAAATCTAAGTAATAGCCTTTGAACAAAATAATTCTCACAAAGATATTTGTGGCAAGACCTTCAAAGCAGGCAACAGTAGTTTACATACAAACATTAACATACCTTACATGAATAGCACCTTAATGCAAATACTTAAATATTTTTTTTTAAATACAAAGCAAAACATATAAACATCAATATCTTGATAAGAACTCCAACATGTTTTTCTATCATAATCATAAAGCATAACAGAAGAAAATTTTTCCAGAGTAGTACCTTACTATCCTCAGCTTGTTAGTCCAGTTCTCTAAGTTCACCTGTGCATGTTAAATTGATTTTCTCAGGGGGAAATAGTTTCAGAAGATAAAAGACTTATTGAATAACCCCTTTTAGACAACCCTGCTGTCTGTACTGACAATCACATGTGCGAGACTCGTACTCTGAACTTCAGAGTTTGTTAGACTTTCAAAACAGTCTAAGAAGAAATAGAGTTTAAAGAGACCTCTATACCATCTATTAAGGTTTTTTTTAATTATTTTTTTCTTTCAGTAAAGATAAAAAAGTAGTTTAAGAATTAAAATGTCCAATTCGCTGGTTCAAGAAAAATTGTCTGATGTTTTGTTTTCAGATTTGTAAGAAAAAAGGTGTGCTCAATATCAAGTTAATCTAATTCATAACCTAATATAACTCTGCTACTGGTATGCATGGAACTAAGCAATACAATGAGGCAAAATAAAGGTTAGTCTAACTTGCACTGTTTATAAAAATCCAGCCCTGTAGTTCCCAAAACTTTACTGTGATCACTCATAGTACAGAGCTAGTATTAAATAAATTCAGACCGAAATAATCCTGGAAGCAATGCAGCTGGTGACAGGTTTTGATGCATCTAACACCTTCCATCAGGGAGGAGGGGAATCTTAAAGAATATAGGAAAAATATATGCCCCTAATTAAATTTGATTAAATCCATTCAACTCATTTGATTCACAGCAAGAAAATTAACAATTTAGGATCTAATCTTGAATAATAAAACTTACTCAGATATCCTGCAATGCACTGACAGAACATGCACAAACACAACATTCAGATGGCATTTCAAGATTTGACTCAATAGAACTCCTATTCCGACATAAGCTAGGAGCAACTCCCCACTATGTGCTAATTGTAGTCTTGAAGTAAATTAACTATCAGGGGCATATTACAACTACAGAAGTTGTTGAGTCAACCCCTCTACCTTCAAATCATCTGACTGAACCTCATCTCCCAGTC